AAAAAAAAAAAAAAAAAAAAAAAAAAAAAGACGGAAATGGGTTGTCTTTTCTGAACAGGTGTAGACAACTGTTTAATTCTGCAACGCTTTTAGGAGGCTACTTTGCAGGAAGAGACTACATGAGGTTATAAAAAGCCGCTTATGCTTGAATGCCCCAGGGAGGCAACAAAAAAAAAAAAAAAAAAAAAAAACTTAAAAAAGGATCAGGAAAAGCTAATCAAAATTTTGCAAAAAGTTTGCATATATTTTTCAAATATAAATAAAAAAAATAATTTTAAAATAATTTTAAAACTATTTTAACAAAACTTTTAAAAGAATTCCAAATTTTTTTTAAGTACAACCGAACTGACACCAAACAAAAACTAATATAAAGCTAAAATAAGGAAAAACTCACATCGAACTTGTAGCAGCATACATACTGCAAACTTACGCCAACTTTATGCCAACCATATATGAAGCTTACACCATACTAATTCAAAGCGGTACATATATCTAACACCAAACCTGCGCCAAACTAAAGCAGACACCACATCAACATATAGGGACACTTTACCCCAAGGAGAGCCTGCTCAACTTGAAGACTCTCTTTAAGGGCTCCCCCTGAGTATCCACACACTTCCTAGGAAGTCCTCTCCATACCAAAAACTTCCCAAATCTGTCAAATTTTTTGTCTAAAAGGAAGAAAGAAAAAGTTTCCTATTTGCCTTTATTTCCCATCCTCAATAATATAAATACGCTGGGAGAAGACCGTCTCCACCCTACAATTCAAGCAACTTCTCTCAAGATTAACTTTTTTCGATTCATCCTTTGTACATTTAGCGGAGGCGTTGTTTTTTTCTTTACTGTTTTTTTCTTTCATTATTTCAATCCTGCTTAACATTTGTTGATTTTGCGTTCCTTCAAAATGGCCTGCACGAACTTCAACTCCCCGTACCAAGCGGAGAAGAGGCGGACCACTGAGGATGTTGAGAACACAAAGTTGGAGAGCGTGAGCGCGGCCATCGACTATCGCGAAATGGGTAAGTGAGAGAGAGCTTTGTCCGCTCCCCAGTGCGCGTGTATGCAGATCTACGCGTGCGCGTGACTACTCCCCCTGTGTGTACCAAGGCTCATTACGGCGTGTCCCCCTCCCCCTCCCTATTTGTAGATTTGATACTTTTCCCTGAGGGGTCATTAAAAAATATCAACAATACCGTTGTCAGTGAGAAGCACTTGGTTGGGAAATCCGTTGCTTTGTTCTTTTCGAACGGGAGTGACCCCAGGTGTAGAGCATTCCTTCCTTTCCTGCAGCAGGTACATGTTTACTTGGCGCGTGGTGCACATATAAGTTATGACACCTCGTCCGCCTTATCATTTGATTCCCCTTTTTTAATCCCCGCCCCCTTTTAGTACTACAAAACCATCAACGAGGCAGGTGGCAGCCAGAAAATTGAAGTAATCTTTGTGAGTACGGACCCGGACAGGACCTCCTTCGAAGACCACAAGAAGCACATGCCGTGGTTGTACATTGACATAGCTGACCCCTTAACAGATATTCTGAAGAAGCATTTCCGAGTGATGAACCCATACGAAGTCCCTTTCTATGGATCAGGGCCAAGAAGTGATGTTCCCTGTTTAATCGTTATTGGTAGTGATGGGCGCGAGGCACAGCTCCTGCACATTTGCAGTGGAAGGGACGAAGGAGAAAAGGGCATTTTGCGATGGGACTACAGGAATAATGTGTACTCGTTGAATAAAAGGGAGTCTTCCTTCTGATTGGGGTCCGCTCACGCGAGGGGAGTTTTTTTTTTTTTTTTATTTTTGTGGAGCTTATTACAGCTTTGTGTTAGTTTGCTTCTCTTCGCACATGCAGACAGATATGGAGTTGGGATGGGGCAACGCGCCCGCGTGGGGCATATATACTGCCATTTGGACTTGATATAAATGGCCTGTACTTAAAAATATTCGCGTTACACATTCCTCGGATGTAACGCGTCTTCGAAGTGAGCAAATATACGCCCCTCTTTTCTGTGCATGTGAGTGTTTCCGTCTACATATAAAAGCGTATCAGTCTGCGTTGCGTTGTGCTTCTTTTATTTTTTTTTTTTCACCTGTATACGTTTTTACCGTTCATTCGAGTGCTGTTCGTTTTGTGGCACTTTTTTTTTTTTTTTTTTTTCTTTTTTTGATTCGTGAAAAGTGCTAAATTGAGTTTTAAAACGGGAGACCCTTCCCTTGAGGGGCTCAAATATTTAAAAAAAATATATACATAAAAAAAAAAGGAAAAAACATTACTGGGGAGGAGGCTACAGCTTTGGGGGGATTTACATGCAAGGAAATCCCTTCGCAAAGAGCTACGCCCCTTGTGCGGCTGCTAGCGCGCAAGTCCAGCCAAGCGAGGTGCTTGAAACGATGCAATTAACCGGTGCACCAAGATATGCACACTTGTCCAAACAGTTACGCCAAAAAAAAAAAAATGAGAGTACATGGGCTCGGTGAGGGGTGTGTCGGGTTGGGTGATCCTAGCGGGATGTGTCTTTTGTCCCGATGCGGTAGGGCAGTGCAGCTGTCAAGTGTAGCGGTGGAGAAGTGTATACATAACCTTTTGCGCATGCCTAAGCTGCACCCCTATGTGTGCATTTTATTTTGGCCACACCTGCCTCGACATTGGTTTCTCCTCTCCCCCTCTCCGTGAGTTTCCCTGGGGGTGACCACATGAGTGCCTTTTGCATAGCCACACAAATTCCATGTGGAGTTCCATTTGGAGTGCCGTTATGTTCCAACTTCTGGCTCTTTTTCCCTCCCCCATTTGTTTCCCCCCTCTGCATCACCCCGTGATGCTAAATTAAGCTACTCAAGCTGAGTGTAAGGTGACCTTGGCTCACATGGGGGATTTTTTTTTTTTTTTTTTTTTTTTTTTTATTTCCCTTTTCCTATCCCACACCTTTATACCTTTATGATGACTCTTTTGCATTCTCCCTCATTTTTGGTTGTTCCCTATCATGCTAGTCCCTATCTCTTTTTCTTTTTTTTTTAGCCGAGTGGTGGGGCTGACTTATCCTGATTGCAGCAATTGCTGATTTGATTTTTTTTTTTTTTTTTTTTATATTTTTGTTCCCGTGTGTGTGTTTTCCCCTCGAAGCGCTCCCTCTCTTTGTGGGTTTTGGCAAAGAGCCTCGAAGGGGAGTGTAGCAGTGGCGCGGAGGGTAACTCTCAAGCGAACACGTGCACATAGCACATACAAATATAAGAAGGCGTATATAAACGTGATCACACACAAGTACACAACTAAAAATTATACGCACGCATGAGTGTGGCCGTGTGTACACAGTTGTGCGTATAATTATTATTTGTGGGAGGCAGACACAAGCGCTAAGTAGCTAGAAGGATAGTTCGCTTAGGCAAAATGGCAGAGAAGGGCAGGAGGCGCGTTTGTTACGTCCCACCCTGCTGGGCGTTGCCCCTGTTGGTCTTCCTCTATTGGGGTTACTACTCTTTTGTTAAAGGCTCGGTTTGGGAAGGCGTCTCAGATGAAGAGGCCAAAAATGTGAAACACTTAACCCACGAAGTAGAGTTACAAATATACAGTCAACACACACCAAACTGTATAGCTCTGTTTTGCAACAAGGAGGAAGTGGCATGCAAAGATGTGTACAAAGAATTTGTGAAGGCAGCAAATGAGATAGCCAGTGATGAAATCGCATTTGTGTATGTGGACACCGTCCCACTGAAAAAAACGGCAGACAATTTCGATATTCAAAAAGTGCCAAAAATTCTGACCTTTAAAGATTTTGATCCAGAAAAAGGATATACCTTTGGGCAAAAATATACAAAAGAAAATATTGTGGAATGGTTTAAATTGCTTCCCATGCCATCTATAGAGGTGATGGAGAAGGATCATGTTGAAAAATATGTTGAGATGCAAAAGAAGAAAGGTTATGCTAGTATTATTGCTTTTTGTGTAAAAAATTCTGACCATGTTCATAAGTTTTTTCATTTTGGGGAAACACACTCATTGCCTAATTTAGCTGTGGGAATGGTGTATATCGATCAGGAGACTGATGCAAAAATTGAAATAAGTAACGGACCAGGGGCTACCATTCCAGAGGGCAACACAAAATATAATGATGTGTACAAACCGGACAACAACGTTTGGGTGTCCAATGACATCCTTACCTTTGCTAGTGAGTACATGGCGCAGTTCCCTGTGATTATCAATTATAAGAGGAGCTTGTACAAGGCACAGAAGGGCGAAATTTATGTCTACCTGTACAGCCACTTTGGGTTCTACTCGGACGCGCTGTACGTGGAGCTGGCCCCCGTCATACGGGCGCACCACCCTCAGGTAAGCTCGTGTGGTTTGCGTGCGCTCACTCCGCTGCACCGCGTCAACCACTTCAACGATACACCCCTTCACCGCTTCTCCCCTTCACCCATACACCCCTTCACCGCTTCTCCCCTTCACCCATACACCCCTTCACCGATACGCCCTGTCACCGCTTCTCCCCTTCACCGCTTCAACCACTTAACCGCTTTACTGCAGCTCCGTTTCGTGTTCCCCAAGAGCGAGGAGGTGGCCGAGTTGCTGGGCACCGAGAAGAGCGGCAATTTGATCCTCTTCGTGGACTACCGAGACGCGACGCTGGACGTCCTCTTCGGATTACTCAGGCCCAAGAAATATATAAAGCAGTTGGACAGCGAAAAAATAAACGCGGAAAATCTTTCCCAAGCTATCACCCAATTTTATAACAACGAACTTGCTCAAATAAAAAAATCACAAAAAGAAGTAAAAAGAAGAGAGCAACAAAACTACCAAATTGTATGTGCTAATAATTTCGACACACTTGTGTTGGATCCAGAAAAAATCGTTTTAATTTTTTATCATGTAGAGGGATGCAAAGAATGCAAGCCTCTTTTTTCTTTCTGGTCCCGTGTCTCCAACTTTTTTCACTTGGAGAATAAATATAAAAATGTCTTGGTGGCCACCATGGATGCAAAGTTGAACGACATGACTGATGAGTCGGTTGACTTTTACCCCAGCGTGGCCATTTACCCAACAGGTAAGGCACGCGCGGCAGGCGTGACAGGCACGACATGCACGACAGACGCGACTTTTTGCTGGCCATTCTTCGAGAGCGACTGGAGGTGATGGTGTAGCTACAACGCCTCTTTGTCCTTCAGACGAGCACAGTGAGAACCGCGAATTTAGTGAAGAACGGAGGCATTTATTGTTCTTCCTTCCCCGCACATTATTCCTTACCGCATTTGTCTCTCCTTTTCATTCTCCCCCCCGTGCGCAGGCTTAGACAAACTGAAAAGGAAAAAATTTCTGCTCTTTCCCCTCAAGTTGGATACTCTGATCGACATGGTGGACGAGATGTTGGAAGTGGAGGAGGACCTGTGATGCAGACCCTACAGGGGGAGTGCCCGCTCCTGATATTTCCCCCCACGTCAGCTGCAAAATATGCTTGCCATTTTGTTGCCATTTATTTGCCTTTTTTGGGTCACCTTTTTTTGGGCCACCTTTGTTGCGTTTTTTTTCTCTTTTCTTTTTTCTCTTTTTCGCCCCCCAAAAAATTAACCCCACGCGATGTACACCCCTGGAGAAGAAGGAGAAAAAAAAAAAAAAATTCACTCAACGCATGCATCGTCTGGAACTGCGCTGGCCAATTTTTTTTGATCCCTTTCCACCCACCTGTGCTGCTTCCTGCAGATCTCGCTCAAGCCGCGGTTTTTTCTGTCGCTGTTTTTTTCGAAGACGCATTCTGTTGTTGCAACATGTCGCGTGGGTGTGCGCATGTGTGTAGCCGCCAGTATAAGGACACGCGCACGCACGTTTATATGTATATATATATATTTTTTTTTTTTTCACAAGCCTTTGTGAATTGTTACACCCACTTTACACAAATTTTCCTGCACACCCACTCGACTTTGCCTTTTTAACGTAATAAAATATTTGTCCTCAAATATACAGTCCTCGTCGAGTCATTTTTCTCTCTGTTTTTTTTTTTTTTTTTTTTTTTTTTCGTGTCCAAAAAAAGGGGTTCACGAGAAGGGAAAAAAGTTCACAAACGGAGTGATTATTCATCTAGTTGGCGATTTCCCCAACCGGTCGAGCGAATACCCGGGTACCGAACCACGCTCCGGAGCACAGACAGGTGGTCAGACGAAGTGGGGCTCACAAAGGAGACTCAACCTTGTCAAGTGGGTAGCGGTCAAGTTGAGCAGCGGTCAAGTGAGAACCGGTCAAGTAACCGAAGCGGTGAAGTGAGAAGCGGCCAAGTAAACGAAGCGGTCAAGCTGGGCAGCGGCCAAACTGAGAACACCCCTGCGCATTTGCACAATGTTGTACCTGACGACGGTGATCAGCAACGCCTGTCTGGCGATCCTGAACTGCGGGCTGTGCCTGTCGGCGACGAACTTAGCGAGAATGATGATACTGAAGGATTTTAAGATATGCCCAGAGGGGCACATGAAGTGCGACAAGGAGAGGTGGTACTTTGTAACCTTCTACTTCACGCTCTACATGAGTGCCTTCTTCGGATGTCTCATTTCTTTATTTTTTAGAAGTGCCAACAGAAGAAAGGGCTTGATGGGTGTGCACTGTCTGTACATTATTGGAAGTTTATTAACAATATATAGTTCCCCTCACATAATTTTATTTTTATTTTCTCAAGCGTTTTTTGGACTAGCCATTGGAGGATCTGTGGTGACTGCATCTTGTTACATTTTAGAGTACACGCCAAAAGAACACCAGAAATTCTATGGGTTCTATATTCAGATTTTTTTCGCACTAGGGTTATTGATTAGTTATATTTTTGGAGCCATGTATGCAAATATACGTTTTTCCAACCCGAAGACTACATACTGGGTATTCACTGTGTTGTATAAACTCCACTTAGCAATGCCTTTAATCTTCAGTGTGGTGTCGTTGCTGTTATTTTCATTTACCTTTACCCTGGACACACCTCTACATTTGTACGAATCGAAGAAATTTAAAAAATTCGACAAACTAAAGACAAAAATAAATGTACAAGAATTTAATGAAAAGGAAGAATACCACAAAAATGAAAAAACAAAAGAAGTCAGTTTGCTAGGAAAAGATTTAACCATAGTGAATTTTTTTAAAAATGAATTATTAAGGAAGACTTCCTTTGTAGGGATGCTACTCTGTTTTTTATATTCGCTTAATGGATCCTTTTTATTCTTCAATTCCATATTTTCATTTTTCAAGGCCTTCCCTAGTACCATGGCTAATACATTTATTTCAGTGGGTTTCGTTTTGCTTTATTTTATTAGCTCCATCGTTTGTACAAAATTGATTCAGACATATGAAAAGAAAGATTTATTAATTACTGGGTTGGTTGTGCAAGCCATATCAGCAGCATGTTTAGTTGGCTCCTACTTCCTCGATTTTACAAGCCTTATACACAAAATTATGTTAATCGTTTCAATCTCTTCTTATTTTGTGGGCTTGTCCTTAGGGTTCGGACATATGATTTGGACCCATGTATTTGATTTATTTCCCAAGGAGTGTAAAGTTGTGGGCGCTTTTTTTTCCTACTACTCACTCTTCCTTGGAGCCTTTTTCATTTCTGTATTGCTCGAGTTTATAAGTATTAGGTACTACTCCTACCTCTTCATCCTGTGCCTGATTTCCCTCTTTGTGTCCATCGTCTCCTTCAGCAAGTGCTACAAGGACGAAAGGGTCGCCATTGCTAGGCATCCCTCCATGGAGGACTAGTCGCGGGGCGGGGGCAAGATATTACACGCGGAAGAGGGTACAATGGCGAGCTGTCCATGTGTCGATATAACGCCCATCACCCTGAAGAAGAAGGCACATATGGGGTGAACACCTCTCAACTCGCCCGGAGACAGACTCACCAAACGTGCGCATTCCACGCGACTGAACAAGTTTGCAGCAGGGGTGGAGTGAAGGCATTACAAGGACCATGTCCCGTTGGAGACGACACGGAGAACTCATCGGAGGGAAATATGACCAAGAGCGATGTTTATCTCATCTTATTATGGTGTACACGTATAGGCACACTGCGCCATTTTTTTTTTTTTTTTTTTTTTTATGTCCTTCACGGGGGATCCTCATAGGGGGAGTTATGAAGCGGAAGCACCATCATTGCTTTCCCTCCCCCATCTTGTGTTGTCTCCATTATTTTTTTTTTATTTACCTTCAATTTTACATTTTTCCTTTACCAAACTTTCCATGTGTGCACATCCCTTCCAATTATGGTTGGTGTTTCTCGCTCCATAGGGGCACCAACACCTTGAACAAGAACCTCTTTTTTTCTTCTTTTACATCTGTTTCTTTTTAATAACAATTTGTTATATAAGTAGTGGCCCATTGAGCAATTGACTCAGCTGATTGTTGACTCCGAAAATGACTACCGCGTCGCGAGAGAGGCCTTTCCGTAGGAGGTGTATAGTTTCCCCCTCCAAGCACCACTAAAGAAAAAAAAAAAAAAAAAAAAAAAAAAAAAAAAAAACGCTGCCGGGGGGTGATACTTTTCGGGACGTTTTTTCAGTGATAGAGGAGATTGTTCATGTGTAGATGTGCCACTTTAAACGGGGTATGGGGTACGGGGTGCTCCTGCCCACTCATAAAAGAGGGGGAGAAAAAATATTTTTAAGGTACCCATTTTTTTTCAGGTCCCGCACAGCAGCATGGTCCAACTGTCATCATTCGTAAGGGAAGTGGTGGGGAAGTGATTTTTCCCTTCACATTGTGCCCAAGAAATTTCCTACCATTGGAAGAAATAATATCCCGTGAAAATATGCATAACCTAAAAGCATGTCGTCAACGTGGCTACTGGTCGCCAACAAACTGCAGCTACACCGGCCCTTCACATTTGGGTTTCATGCTTGAGGAAATTGTGAGGGAGCCATGTGGAAGAAGTGGCCAAGAGAGAAAAAGGTGATCCTTCCCCTGCTGATCCTTTTTCTCCTCATTAGCGTACAAAAAACATTTCGGTGTGAAAGTGTTAAACTGGAAAGGGTTCCATTTGATAGAGAGTCCGTCAGGGGATCTTTAAAAAACAAATTAAAAAAATATGAGGGGAGTAAATTGGTACTGGTAAGTAACCTACCTCATTTGTCAGTAACACATACAGAGTTTTTGCGCCTGCTGGACGGGGAAGGGGGTCACCATGTAGGGAAGTTTGTTCGCCTCGGGGGTGGTGGTGGTGGTCATGTACTACTCCCCGCGGACCCCGCCATGTACGATGGGCTGGTGATCATCCTGGATGTCTTGGATGACCAAGTGGTCGAATCTCTAACCAGCAAATATGTGAACAGTTTCAGAGAAAATAAGAAAAACATTTTTTTATGTCTCAATAGTGTTAGCGGGAAAAACGGGATACAATTCTTAACAGAGTTACATATTCAAGTGTATGCAGGTGGACTATACGTGAAGGACCCCTTTGGAATGGCATCAGGAAAAGGGGTGGAAATGCCTGAGGGGAAAAGCAACTTGGGGGGGTGCGCTTTCTACACAGGAGAAATAATACGAGACACACCAATCGTTGTTAACCCTTCCGGAGGGGGAAAAAAGAAAAATTTACTCTTCCAAGGCACAGCACATGTCATGATGGAAAAAACAAACAACATTCTCGAAATCGTAACTTGCACAAAGACATGTCTGCTGTATGATAAAAATGACCATGTGGTGAAAAAAGCAAAACAGGGAACAGATTTATCTTTAGTGTCTTCCAGTCAGTGGGACAATAACTCACGCTGTGTTTTTTCATCCTCAAGTGAAATTTTCTCCGACCTTTTTTTTCACATAAATGGAGAAAATAAAAAATTCGCAAAAGAGATAGTTGCGTGGAATTTTAAACAGAGTGGCATCGTCGGATACGATAAGTTTAAACTGTATGCAGTTGGAGGAAATATGGACCATACAGGAGGAGGGGACCTCTTAGGGGGGGATCGCATAGGGGCTACTCCCTTTGTCGCTAACGATTTAATTCACCTGTCCATTGACCTTTACGAACTGAAGAGCAACTTCTGGGTCCCCTTCAAACGGAGAGACATTCAATACGAACTCGTCAAAATGGAAATTCAAAGAAGAGATTTTTTAAACCTGTACAAAAATGCGGACAGTCCAACGTACTACACAAATTTCCATTTACCAAACGAACATGGTGTGTATAAAATAAAAATATTTTTTCGCAGAAAAGGCTACAACATTTTAAATTTGCATTTTTTCCTCCCCGTTCGATCTCCCCTGCATTATGATAAGAACAAAAAAGTGCAATTTGCGTTTTATCCATTTTATACGTACATTTATCTGTCTCTTTTGTGTTTTTTTGTTTTCATTTTGCTCATTATGTTTGACGATTCGCGGGGGCCCACCGAGGATCACGGTGAAGGGAGCCACGGCAAAAAGGACAAAATGGACTAGCATGGTGCCACCTGCTCCCCCATGCGGCAAGCCACAAGTAGGCGTATATATAGGCATACGTGAATGTGGGCCTGTTCCGCTGCAGCATATTGCATAGCCCGTTGGGACCATCCCCACCATTGCGCGGTTTTGTTTACGTGTACGAATGCGCATAATTATTATGTTCATATGTTCATTCGTTCATATGCTTATTTTTTTATGTTTGTGTTTTTTCTTTGTTTTCCACCACCTCGGCGTAACTACAACGTGCGCGTGACAAATTTCGTTGTCGTGTTGACCAACCCGGGATGAAACACAAACAACGGCAATTTATTCGTGTTCACTCCGAGAGAACAAACCGGCGGTCCGCAAACAAGGCACCGATAGGAGAAGCCCCTTTCAAGCAAAAAAAAAAAAAAAAAAATGCTACCAAATAATTCTGTTCCACCATCCGCGCGAGGAGTAACTGCCCTCCAAAAAGTTACCAATCGAAAGGGGAGGAGACTTAAACGATGATGATACACGTTCTAAGTACAAAATGTTTTATGCGTGCGCATGTTGTTACTGTATCAGACGAGTAGCCAAAATAGCACAGTGATAATTCGGGAGTTCGTCACGCGAACGGAACTCCATAACGAGAGTATACATAGGCCCCCCTCCCTGTCCTCGATGCAAGAATTACAACAAGGAAGGTTCAGCACATAAAAAGAAATCCCCAACAGTCCAATGTGACCACGCCTCCCCCACGTCAACAAACGGAAAACAAGATGAAGTACATTAACAACCTAAAAGAGATTGAAAATAAAATAAAGTCCTTGTGTGACAACTGCGGTGTTGCCCCACCCAAGATACTAATTGTTACCAAATATGTAGGCAGTGAAGAAATAAATAACATTCACGCTTATGACAAGAAGTACCACTTTGGGGAGAATTCTCTGGAAGCCTTGGAGCAAAAGACGAAGCAGTTGCCAGATACCATCAAGTGGCATTTCATAGGGAACCTCCAATCAAAGAAATGCAAAGTCTTGGCAAATTTAAAAAACCTACATATGGTGGAAACGCTAGATAAACAAAAAAAAGCCATCATGTTAAATAATTACTTAAAAAGTATAAACGAAAATGAACAGAGAACCAGTGACAAGGTAAAAAAAATCCGTGTGCTTATGCAAATTAAAACAACAGACGACCCCAACAAAACAGGAGTTGTGCACAACCAATATGATGATATTGAAAGCACAATTCTGTACATTATCAACAATTGTGAATTTCTAATTTTTAAGGGACTCATGACCATTTCCTCGTTAGAAATTTCGAACAGGGAAAACTCCTTCGTAATTTTGAATGATATAAAAAGTAGACTGCTAAGCAATACAGTTATTCGTGATTACTTTCGTGACAGAAAATTTCACATGAGCATGGGTATGTCCGGTGACCTCGAACTAGCTATTAAGCACGGAACAACACAGCTCAGGATTGGGAGCGCCATTTTTGGCTAGCTCGTAGCCCATAATGATCGCCATGATGGTTATTTTTTTTTTTATTTTTTTTTTTCCCCCTTTTTTCACCTGACCCGTTGTTCATACTTTTTTTTTTTTTTTTGTAGCATAACGGCTAGCTACACATTGTGTTACATAATAAAAAAAGGGGGAAAAGGCGCACATGTGTGCAAGCTCTAGATGAAAACTACAAGTCTGTTTATTTGCATATACCCCCCAATCCTATTCTTCACTTTTGAATGTACATAAAATTAATTATCATGTCTCCGCTTTATTTTTGTCCAACCAAATTTGCTTAAAATTAAAAAAAAAAATAAAAGGTACCAAATGGTTTATATGTTAAAGATACGCGTTTGCGTGATAAAATTGGTGAAGTACGATTCTTCGAACAAAAAAAAAAAAAGAAAGAAAGAAAAGATATGCACGTGCAGGCGGGTGAATATAACGCACGCACATATCCACGTATGTGTACACTTAAAAACGGCATGCGCACAACAATCACTTCACGTGCGCAAGCAAAACAAAAAAGACGTTACATTTTAGGCGTAGTATAGTACGGTTAGCTTCGGGTACGCCTGTCCTCTCCGCGTCGACATGTGCACTCTGTGGGTTAAAGCGGCTAAGCATTAAATGAGGGAGAGACGGAACAATTGGGGAAGCCTCACCCCACGGGTACGTCACGAGAGAATTATATACTCGCTGATCTACCACAAAAGAAATATTATCACCACAGGGGATACTACCTCTTCCCCACTCCCTACAAATCGTCAAACACCCACAGCTGCAAAAACTGAATTTCGAATTCCTCGTCATGGGTCAGCAAGTCGTTATCGTATGTACTGCTCCTGCTGGTCTGCCCTTTGCACAAATCGTCATTAATGAGCAGCGAACAGTTATCCCCGCCGCCTATCGTTATCGACCTTTCATCCGAGTAGACAAAATAATTGTTTCGAGTGGTCCAGTTGAACACCTTAATGACCGCATTATCATTGCCACTTTGATTTTTTTTATTGTTTTCGCTTGTTTCGCTATTTTTGGTACCTCCGGGGTTGTTCCCCTTCGGGGGCTGCTTCTTCCCCGGGAGGTGGGTTAAATGCTTGTACTTACCCTCGTTGAGTATTTCTGTACTGCACTGCATGGCGTCCGACGACGCGCCACGGTTTTTATCGTTGTACTGGTAACAGCCCCGAGACGTAACATTATCCTTGTCGTTGTACCCGCCCCTATCGTTACCACCATAGGCGCCACCGCTACACGCCCCACCAACCGTGCTACCAGCCTCTTCATCTTCGCCGCCATCCAAATCGTGCATATCCGTTTTGTATCTATTCATGTAATCGAGGGGAGTGCGCGAGGGGACCTCTTGACCTGCATCGCCCCTAAAGGAGTCCTTCAAGCTGTCTTCAAAATCAGTGCCGGGCTTTTCCTGCGAATTGGACCTCGAATTATTTCCCAGCTTCCCCTCATTGATGTCTGAAGCGATGTTCTTCCGCTTAACCTTTTCAAAGTTCCCTCCTAATGGGTAAAAATTGTCCATACTCTTGTCATAGGCAAAACGGTTTCCATTATTATCCACATTCCCGTCTTCATCTTTTATTTTTCTCTCCTTGTCTCCATGCACGTCTTTGTCCTCTTTTTTGAACGTAAACAAAAAGTTTTCCCCAGAGCCGTAGTAACAATTATCGCAGTGTAATTTGTCCAGGAAGCACCCGAACAATACATTCTCCATATCGCAGATTAACAAAATTACGCTGCCTTTATTGGATACACTCCTGTACAAGGTTTTGAAAGACACCCCGTGTATACTTGAGCAAAAAGCGAGCTTCCATATTTTAATGCTGAGTGTTGGGGGGAGGTAGTAGTTTATCTGCTTAGTCATTTCTTTGGTTAACAATTTTACTGCACCGTTAATGTACTCCAGTTTGGGGACTAATGGTAAATAATTTAAATCCTTAGCATCATTCGCTCCCTGTGTTTTTTTCTTCGATTCTTTGGCCAATAAAGACTGTTCAATAATGCACCTTAACAATTCGTTTGATGTAAATGGCACCGAGGTGATGGTTTTTTTTATTTTGTTTTCTGATTTTCTGACTTCATCAATTTCTTTGATTATCTTTGTTGTGGTTTCGTATGCCTTATTGTTGTTAAAGAATCTGAACAGTACAAAGCTTTTCTCTTCATATTTTTTCTTCGCCTTTTTCTGCCCTTCGAGGTTCGGTCCAGGTTCTCCACCTGTTCCCTTGTTTCCCCAGTGGACCTGGTTCCCCTCAGTGCAAAGGATACCTCCGCAGGAACTGCCGTAGTTGTCCCCGGTGGATGAACTTCGCAATCTTTGATGATGCAACTCGAAGGAAATATTTTTTAGCGTCTTTGAGCATGAGCGTTGTGCCTCGCTCGCAAAGGTGACAGTGTCTTCTCTCTTTATGCAGTTTTCCTCTTTTATTCCACCCGTTTGCTTGAAGTTACTGTTTGATTTGTCCACGTTGGGGAATCCCCCCTTGGACGATGCCTCCTTAGCTACGCTCAAGGAGTCTCTCTTTTGATTTCCCGAAAAAGTGGAATTGTTCCCCTCACCCTCCTTAAAAAAATACCCCGAGTTGGCTAAATTTAAATTATTTTTATAGGTTATATTTGGGTGAGCAGGAATTGCGCTGCTATAATCCGCCTCGTTAATTTTTTGGTAAATTTTTAAATCACTGTCTTGTAAATGCTCCACAATGTTATTCTTTGGAGAGGATATATCAAAATTTAAAAAGCTATTTTTTTTTTTTTTTAAATCATCATTTTCTTCTTCCTTTCTCTGATGGTCTACATTTATGTCATGCTTCGAAACGTCCGAAGAATAATTTGTTCCTCCCAACAGATGGTCATTTTTGTCCTCTAAAAAATGGGACGTGCTTTGAACCAACGGTTGGGCTAAATTTAATACATAGGTCAAACTTCTGCTGAAGTATTTATAGTAGGAAATGCTTTTCTGTTTGTTCCAATCATCCGTGCTCGAGTTGCTATTCATACCACTGTAGCAACTGCCCGTGCTATTTTTCTTTTGCGAGGCATCGTCGCATACTCGGTTGTAAATACTTTTTAACAACACTTGGATAAAACCACAAGTGTCTTCATTGTTACACAGGTAGGTATCCTTCGTGGGAACCACAATATGAGCACATTCATAAATATCGTACAAATCTATAAAAATTTGATACCTGCCAAATCCGTACGTTATCACATTTCTGTCTCTCAGGTCTGGTTCGAATAGCAACGATTCCTTCGTTAAAATTAGGTGGCCGCTTATCGAAAAATTTGTCAAGCAGTATTCGCATTGTTCTCGAAATATGATGCAATTTTTTTTCTCCTTGTCCGTTTCTTCCACTTTTGTACACTTGCTCGAATTCGTAGACACGATTGCGTTGCGGATTATTCCCTTCTCGAACTAGCCAAACGAGGAAAAAAAAAAAAAAAAAAAAAAAAAAAAAAAGTACGATAGTGAAATTATGCTATGAAAGGATTTCCTTTGAAATGCCGTGGTATCATTTATGCACATTGAAGCATGTACGTATTTTTATATACGCGTGCGATTGTGTGTTCAAACATATGCTGCCATGCATGAACGTAGCAGTGTGACACGCCAAATAATTGCATGTAAGCACATGTGTTTACCAGGCCGTTGGCAGGGCTATGTTCGCGCACTTGTGTATGTGTGCTCGTTAAGCGCCTTGGGCCCCTGCCCCCCCCTTGTGTGTGGCGAAAACAAAGTGCCTTCTCTGAGTGTTCCCTGCACGATGCACGTTTTGGGAAGCTACGAGATGGTGGTCATTCTGTCATCAACTCATCGCATGGCATCAATCGAAGGGGACTCACAGGAGTCTGTTTTCTTTCCTTTCAATTTTTTCCTTCCCCATTCGGCTTCCACCCTCTATTGTTGCAGGCGCGACGTGGTAACAGTACGTCGTGATAGTACATCGTGACGGGCGACATAGGCAAAGGTGAACGCGGTGCGCATTTTTACGGAGGGTAAAGGGTGCGACCTTGTTGGTGGATTATGCGTGGCCTATCCACCTGCGCCCATTGGCAACCACCTGGTGGCACAGAAAAATGACGCGGTTGTGGCCTCTCCAGGTGTGCCCTATCCTGGTGTGATACGTCCCCATGCGCGATGCCCAGATGTATATGCAGTGCGTCTTGCTCGCGCGCATAAGGCCCACAAACGATTCTCACAAGCGATTCGCACAAGCGACTACCTCTAATCCTGCGCGCTGAAAATATTTTTGAGGTTGCTCTCAATTAAGCTCTGAATGCTCACCATGTTTGCGTTGATGGACGAGTGATCCGAGGATGTATCGAAAATGGAATCCAGCATGGCATTCAGTTCCTTCTTCTTCTCCTTCGAATTGTCAGCTGGCCCACTCTGCTTGTGCACAGCATCAGTAATCGCGCGCTTTACAATTTTACCATCGCCACCATGGACCACCTTCTTCCTTTCGGTCGCAGCATCGTTCGCTGTGGCAACTGGGTCAAATGTATTATTTTTATTTATGCTGTTCGCATCATGGAGCAGAAGAAAATCGTTCTTTTGAATTTCCTTTAATTGTGTGTTCTTTTTTGCAAGGGCCTTTGTGGTCACCTCGTTCGATGGTGAAGTGGACGCGGTTACACCCTCCCCCTTGGCAGCGCTCTTCTCGTTGAGGCCTCGAATTTTCGTTTTTAAGAGGCGCTCATCGAAGGGGTGTTCATTCGTCTCATCCGTTTCTCCATCGTTATAGCTATCCGTAGCACTGTGAAGTTTTTTTTTTTTTTTTTTTTTTTTCTTCCTTTCCAGGGGTTGGTGTACCATATGTCGCTCATCCGTTTGGCTTGCTTCTCCATCGTCGTCGCCCCACTCTACCACCCCACTGGGTGCGTTCCCTCCATTCGCTCCGTTCGTCCCGTTCGCCAAATCGGAGTGTGCAACATTATGCGTTGTGTGTGTCAATTCGGTGAGATCTGCAGAGGTGTAATTCATCTTATGAGTGACCCATTTTTGTGCCTCCGCTTTTGTAGAATTCTTCTTTTCTGTGTCCAACTCCCCCTCTCGCATGCTCGTTTGGGAAGCGACGCTATCGTCCGAGTCCACATGCATTTCACTGGACAACGTGTCATAGGTACCCGTTTTCGACTCTGTAGTTTCGTTGCTCGGAAAATGGTTCCCTTGCACTTGCTGTGTGGTAGCCTCCCCTTCATTGTCGTGTGTGTAATTTCCCTTTATTGCTTTAAGGGACGTCATTGTTTCTTCCATCTCTTCCATCACGGCCTTCTCTAAATTTTCGTTTTGGTGGTCTTCCCCTCCGCGGGGGGTGGCACTACTCTCCCGATTGGCGCTGTTTTCAGAATTGGCCGCTTCATCCGCACGAGTTGTGTTTACCATGTTAGCTGACGCGTTAGTATCTTCCCCATTCGCATGTAGTGTACTCAGATGTAGGTTGCTTGGCGTCAACTCCTCACTACCCCTTGCTTCATTTTGTCCCTCCAAATGTTTAAGAGCCATTTGAACTATCCCCTCAAGGATGGGATCGGCTAGAAAATCGTCCTGCTTTGAGGTCTTCCACCTTTGTTTTAACTTATCCTTTAATATTGCAAAATGGGTTGATAACGTTTCCCTTTTTGGGGTGCTCCCTTGTTCTAAATGCAACACTTGTTTCTCTTCCGTGTGTCTTGACTTATTTTGTTCTCGGGGTTTATGACTAAGCGGATGTGTGCCATGCGTCCGTTTGGCGTTACCGCCGCTGCTGCTGTAAATGGAGAGGTCTTCTAACGCACTATTGTTAGTAGTAGCGGTAGTAGCGGTAGTAGCGTTAGTAGCGTTAGTAGCGGTAGCAAGAGCAGAAGTTGTGTCCCTTTTCAATAGGCTCCCCTTCGCACTTAAGGCGTCAACTTGGGCGCTGTTCCCGCTGAATAGCTCTTTCATGGCGTTCAGTTCTCGCCGCAATGCGCGGGCTTCTTCACGTAGCTGTTCGTTTCTCTCCGCCAAATCGTCGTTTCTGTCCGCCAAGTCATCATTTCTCTGCACCAGGTCATCGTTCCGCTTTGCCAATTCGTCGCTACGCTTGAGCAGCTCCTCGTTCTGTGCCTTCATCGAGTTGTATTTGTCTTTCAGCTCGTTGTACTCCGTTTCCCAACTCTTCAAAGAATGTTCAATTTTGCGTAAAATATATTTTTTTTTTTTTTTTTCATTTTCCAAATTCTGTTTATAATTATCTACAGCATTTCTCATTTCGACTTCCTCCCTTTTGTATTTCTCACATTCAATTGTTAGAGTCATGTTCCTTTTGGTGAATTCCTCATTCTGCTTCGAAATAATATCTTTCACTTTTTCCAAGTGTGTAATTTTGTTGGCTAGCTGCTGCAGGTCATAGTGATGCTGGTGAGATTCTTCATCTAATTCATTTTTTAAAAATAAATTTTCTTTTCTCATTTTGTCGATATAAACTTGAAATGAATTTTTGTTCAATCTAATTACTTGGTTCGTTTTCATAACCGTATTTTCCAACACCTTTTTTAAGTAGTTTTTTTTTTTTTCATTTTCTTCTTTTTCTTTTTTAATATATTTGTACTCTTCATAAATGTATTGCACATCTTTGAGCAGTTTCTTCATGCGTTTTTTTTCCTTCCCGAGGAGGGTTGTCTCTGCGTCTGCATGATCACCACGTAGTTTTCCCCTCAACTTGTGGAACAACACATCACACTCCTTGTTTGCGTTGCGGGAGTAATCCTCGTCGATGAGTTCAATTTCACCTGTGTATCCTCCCTCACCCTTCAGCACTCTGCCTTTTCCTCCCCTTTCACCTTTACCTGAGCCCTTATCCACAGCAATGTCGTTTTTCATGCGTCTGATTTGTCTGCCCAATTTTTTAAGAACATCCCTTCCGTTGCTTTCATTCGAGTCGACACTTATTAGTTTCTTGGTAGTTGTACTTCTTTTTTGTTTCTTCTTCCCCTCCTCTTCATCATCGCACGCAATGTCTTGTTCTTCCTCGGCCTGGGTCATTTTTCCACCTTTCGCTCTTCCCTTCGACCCACTTCGTGTGCCAATTTTCCTATTGCAGTTACTCACGGGGTCATTACTAGACGTGGTGAGCGTCTCTCCGCTTCCATTTTGCTTCCCTTTCTTGGGGACTGCCACCTTTGTGTCATTTGACCCACATCGATTATAAAGACATAGGGCCCCTTCACTTGTCCTCCTTTTCAATTTCTTCTTGGGGGACGTGCGTACATTTCCTCCTGCCTCGACATGTGTGTGCGCCGTATTATCGTGGAGCACCATTTGTGAGTTTGCCTCTAGCGCATTGTCTCCTCCGTGGTAGTTGCACAAATCTTGGTCGCTCGTGTACTCTATTCGTGCCACGTGGCTTCCCCCCAATGGGTGTGTTTTTTTCTCCCCTGGAAGTTTACCACCCTTTTGCTTATCGCTTCTTTTCTTCACCACCTCACTACACGAACGAGTAACCATTTCCCCCTCGCTGTGGCACCTGCTTGTGTCCTTTTTAACGCCCTGTGTCTTCCTGCACAGCTTCATATCCACATTCCCTTCGCACGACTCGCACCCTTCGCCACCCCTTGGGTTGGCACCCCCCGCACTTATGCTTCTCTTTGGAGGGAAATGTTGACCACAAGAAGTATTTTTGTCACAACTATCCATTCTACATCTACTAACGGAGCAATTTTGCACATTCATAATTGGATGAGAGAATCCTAATGGGATAGAAGCGTCTTGCGTGTTCTTTGCTCCCTCCCCAGGTTGTTTCATACACTCCACATTCACTTTTGCATTTGTACCTCTTTCATCATGTTGATCAGTACAGGTTATGCAAAATGGTCCCCCCTTGGAAGCACAACTTTTGTTACTGCACACAGATTTATCCTTGCTCCTCGACAAGACTTGCTTCTTCCCCGTTTTGCTCGTTTTCATTTTTGTTCCATTTTCAGAGTTGAGACTTTTTTTCTTGTTTTTGTCCTTCACAGAGGGGTTATTCTCACAGATGGAAGCTTTTTTATTCACCGACATGGAGGTTGTCTTCTTTTTTGTGCAGCTATCTTCCAGTGGGATACCTCCTGCATCTCCCTTCTTATACGTACTGTCTTTCTTCATAACCACTTGTAAGTTTACACTATGGGTGGAGCGACCACCACAGCATTGGCAAATGTCTGAGGGGAGAATCGCATTCGTACCATTTACATGATTACTTTCTACAAAAGGGGAGTCTACATTATCATGGTCCTTTTGTTCTTCCTTAAACTGGGCAGGTGTCCTTTTCAGCTTGGTCATTTTTTTGCGTTTCACTTGGGAGGGATGCAGTAGGGTTAGTTTTGTGCCAATAGGGTGTATGTCATTTTCAACTTTCAGCATTTTTTTTTTTAAGCCACATTTTACTTTTTTATATATATGGTATTTTATTTTCAATTGTTTCCTTTTTTGTAGAGCTTTCCATTTTGCACACACATGATTTTTTTTCCTTAATGAAATGTTCACGGTGGAGGTAAGGGACCCTGCATCTGTCTTCCCATTCTTGTCGCCACTTCGTAGGAACAGTTTCGCGCCGAAGTTGTCTGCGTTTTTGCCGCTTCCATTCCAGTCGAACCCACTTCCCCACTTGCTTCCATCAAATGTGAATCCTCCTTTGTGTCCCCCTACGTTATAACTGTGCTCCTCGTCGATTGCACCTCCCCTTTTAGTGGAGCCGGTTTGGTCACTGTCGCTGGGGAAATTTTCCATTGGTCCAATTTTATTAGAGTCATTGATAAGGGGTGACACATATTTTTTGTCTCCTGTTAACTCCTCTTCCTTGTGCAGACTTCCCACATACATTTTTACTTCGCCACCTATCGTCTGTCCAGCGATACCTTTGTCCCACTCTTCATTTAACGAAGTCTCCTGAGGTGTGCATTCCTGTGGGGGGTCATCCCAAATGAACTGGCTATTCAATTTATCCTCCGAAGGATTCATATTTGGAATTTTTTCAAGACAGTGCACAAAAATGTCCTCATCTGGGGGATGGGTTGTTGTCGCTGCATTATTGGCCCCCACATGTGCGTTGACACATTCTGACCCGATTGCTTCTCTTCCACGTGGGGCGTCATATTGGAAAATGGAAGAGGGGTTCATCGCGTCCGTCGCTTCCGTCTCCTCGCCGCTGGACACTCCACTCATCAGTTCGTAGTTGCTCTTGGCAAAGTCGTAAACGTAATTCGAAAAGGAAACACTCTTTTTAAGTCTCTCACTGCTAGGGAATTTTTTAAGTGCTGATTTTAAATTCACTTTTTCCTTTCCTTTGGCTGTCGTGTTGGTGGTTATCCCTGCACCCACATCACTCTGGTTGGCAATTTCTGGCTTTCCATAAAAGTTGGTTGCTAAAAAGTGCCCTTCGTCATCATCGTAGTCTCCATAAGAATAATCTTCCTCTTCCCGTTCTGCATCTATCAATTTGTGGTAGGTGTTTCCCTCTGGATCTGTCTCATGGGTTGTATTCTCCTTCGAGTTCCATGAGTGAGACTTTGTCTCGGTGTAATAAGATCCATTTGTTGAGTCAACTTTGGGGGCATCACTGTTGGTCATCCCGTCACACTCGAATTGATTCGTGTTAGCGGAACCAGACTTTGATCCTACCTGGGGGATGCCATTCGATTTTGCTTCTTCCCCTGTGAGGTGTTCATTTGGGCAGCTATCCTCATTATCCCCCTGTGCATCACATTTTTCAGCGACGTCCTGTTTCACGTCTGAGGGGGGCACTTTCCCCTCGGTAGGCACTGTGCTCACGGGGATGTCATTCGGGGAGCCTGCCTGATCGGCGCCCTTTCCTTGCTGAGGGGGGACATTTCCACCAGTCAAATGGGCTTCCCTACCATGCGCATCGTCTGCTACGTCCACACCGTTACATGCTTCATCATTATCTGCAGCGTAGTTCAGTTCATCCCCTTCGCCTTTTCCTTTCCCTATCGACCCGCTCTCAATAGCTAGCTTTGCATCTGCGTGAACGGGTTCTACTTCCCCCTCCGCATGATTCTCCACACCAATGATCAAATTGTCGTAGGAACAAAGCAAGTCTATTTTTAAATTGTTAATGTAGTAGCCATGGGAAAGCGTATCAATTTTTTTTACCCAGATGTTTTTCTTTGCACACAAGCCAATGATAAAATTTTTGTTAATAATCATTTGGCTGAATTTATTTTTGACCATACTAGGTTTGCATCCGTAGGTCCCTCCCCAAATATACAAATCGTCTTCCATCGTTTTGCAAAGACTTACCTTTCCGGCACTCACATAAGTTACGTTCTTGAGGCTGTCAACTAATTTGGGTTCGTGACTCTCTGCACAGTCATCGAATCCAAGTACACCATTGGTGTTGTCCCCCCAGGAATAGAGTAAGTTGTTAAAACTGATTCCCAGGATGAAATCATTTCCAATGGCAATCTTTTTAAAAGCTATATTATTTGTATCGATCAGACATGGCTTTGTTAGTATTTTTTTCCTCATGTCTTTATTTTTTTCACCCTGGATGAAATTCTCGTTTATCAAACCGAACCCATACAACAACCCGTCGATGGTCAGATATAGGGTGTACCTATCCCTTGAGTAGACATATTTGACGATGTTATTTTCTACATCTACTTTGTGCACTCTGTTCACTTCATGTTTTTTCTTTTTCGTTCTGGTGCCTACCTCTTCAGGGTTGCTAGACTCTCCCACGTCTTTTTGCAACGTGGAAAACGAATGGACCGTTTCTGAAGTAGAATCTGGTGTGCAATCCCGGGTAGATCCTAACCCATCCTCACAATCAAACGCAGTATCATCCCCTTTGCCCAACTGCCCATAGGTGTTATCCCCATACGTGAACAAATCTCCCTCTTTCGATATAAAGGCAATGTGGCTATCTCCACTGCTCACATCGTAAATTATTTTATTTTTTAAAACAGGATCTACTAAAAGGTAGGGTACATTTTTATCAAAGTCTTCAAAACCATTCAATTGCCAACAGTATATTTTTCCTACTACTGAGAGAAACCCAATGATGGATTTTCCACAACTGACTTTTACAATTTTGACCTGAGGGTGGTACATTTTGTGTCTTATGATTTCCTTTTTTTTATTCTTTTTTGAGTTTATTACCTTCTGCTTATCTCCCCCGACGCCATCCTCATCATTGGGACTGCCTCCTTTAGGTGTGTCATCACCATCGGCGTTGTACGTATCGTCGAGCTCCTCCTTCTCCCACTCCTCATTCTTCACATCATTTATGACAAACACGTGAATCTTACTGCCTTTTTTTTCGCTTGACATGTTGTCTGTACTGTTTTTTTTTTTTTTAATTCTTCATATCTTTTGTGTGAATACACACACAGGACGACGAGGGGGAGATAGCGTCAATGCAGTTGTGCAGAATTACACACTTGTCAGGACACACACAAAACACAAAAAAAAAAAAAATTGCAATGTTGTTACGGAACAAACGGAACAGCTAAACACGGTATGCGTAAAAAAATAACAGAAAAACACATTCACTATACAAATGTAAAAAAAAAAAAATTCCCAATTGGTACCTGAACAAAATTGAAAAAAAAAAAAAAAAATTATGATATGTTCAGAATATTTTACAAAAAAGGTAAATAGGAATGGTACGTTGACGGCGAGATACAAGAACTGCGAATAAAGACAAAACAGAATACACTCTATCTTCATGTATCATTTATCTCCACAACTTCTTGATGTATTAAAAAAAAAAGAAGTTTCAGGGGTGGTAAGACAAACGGACGAAATACGGCCTGATGCTGTCTCGAGCTAGTGGCCAACTCACACAAAGTGCGGCGGGCGGGGGGAAGTTAATTGCCACCAAATTGAATGGGGCACATATGGGTGTATGCTGTCCCCTCTTTTGGGCATGCCCCGTCGGATGATAAACAAATTGTGAAGTGGTGGACAAAAAAAAAGGGGGTAAAAAAATACACATATAAGCATACATGTACACACATGCACACTCATATGTGATGTACCTGTCGCCTAGTTGAGGGCTCCTCCCCGTTGTGCGTCCTTCGGCCAAGCGCCACACATGAGGGGGATGCTGCTCGCGCTGCACTTTTTAAAGGCGAACAACACTAGCATAGACACGGGGATGGGCACGAACGTGCGTGCACAGAGAGGCATAGGCTCGCTCGTGACGTCAAAACAATATGGAGGAAAAAACCACACAGTGTCCGAGGAAGAATTTTTGGAGCCGCCAAATTGGGTGTGCATACAAAGAGACACGGGGGAATAAATGTCGCAAATGAGGCGCAGGAAAAAAAAAAAAAAAGTTACGTTTAACCCTTCAACGAGGGCACTCCTTACCAAATGAGGAGAACAGGGAAGTTTCCTGCGAAAGGTTCCCTGTTCCCTGTTTCGGGTGCAAAAAGGCCGGACGGAAAAGCATACGGAAATAAAAATGAAGGGAAAATGAACAAAAAAAAAAAAAAAATGAAGCATGTGGGACGAAAAAAATGGCGCAAAAAAAGAGGCAAACATGACGCAAATTTAACACAAATGTAACTTAAATGTAACTTAATGGTAATGCAAATGTAAAGCGAGCATAACGCAAAATAATGGAGTGACATGGAATACGCTGGGTGTAACAAGGGAAAAAAGGAAATACAAATAAAACACAGAAAAGTGCGGAAATTTCTGAGGAAAGAGCGCCACGCGGGGAAATGTGCACAATGTATGCCCCGTTTGCGTGACACATAATATGCACGAAAACGCGCCACCCGTGTGGACAGAATGAAGAACAACTTATGCGCTCCACACCATGGCACTGCTCACGGGGCATTTGCTCCACTGGGGGAAAGGCCCATCTCGTGCTTTTGCGCAAAATGGAAAAAAAAAAAAAAAAAAAAAAAAAGAGCGTCCAAATGCATAAGGGGGGAAGCATAAATAAAAATGCCTCGAGAAAGGTAACAGAAAAATCGCGAGGAGGCACAACCAAGTGGGCACACAAATGTTCCCCACGATAAGATATATCGTCAAAGTGTAAATGGACTAATGCATAACACTTTGCCATGTTTTACAACTTTTCTTCCTCCATTGCGCGCGCGCGAATGGTACCCCGCATATTCTTTTAATAGCGTAGGGTCAAAAAAAAAAGAAAAAAAAAAAATGGACAAAAAAGTATATGCTTCAACGTGGTGATGGCAAAGGAGTGCAGTCAGATGAGACAACACATGGAATGAAGCCTCCTTGGAGATATTCCCACTTGGTGCACACAGCGTGTCCAAACCTTTTTTTTTTTTAACTGCTGCTTCTGTCCAATCGACATGCACACGGGTGGAGATCCTGCAGTAGCGAAGCTCAGCTCCACTAATTTAAACCATAATTATATTTCAACCCGCTTCTGGCCTCTGTCCGCGTACCATGTAGCATGTAACACTGTGTAATGATATACCCTTCGCTCCTTAGCGGACATGTGCTCGCTCCATGATCACCTCCAACGTGAACTTAAAATAGGTACATTGGTTATTCCCCTTCGCGGGAATATAATGAGGACAACTGCGGGTAAAACACGATGCGCGGTTAATTGTGCACCGATTAGATACATCCGCCAGGGGGGTAAAAGAAAAAAAAAAAAAAAATTAATTCGGTAAGGGGCTCCCAACTCTGTGCACCCCCTTTTCTCCATCGACCAAATGACAAAATCGGTGAAACTTCCAATTGGAAGGGGAGAACACCAACTTGGATTTACTTAATCGCAGAACAATATTGTACAAAGGCAAGCATACCTGTGAAGGAGAGTAAAGGTGTGCCGGTTGCCCATGTGGGAAAGCAGATAGTCCACATGTGGTGCGTGTGTGGCGTTTGTTCTGGTTCTCCTTAGGTGTCACGTTGTAGGTCGGCTTTCACCCCCCCTTCTCCTTCGCACCTCTCCAATTCGTCACTTTTATTTTTGTCCATTTGTGCATTTTTCTATTTGCTCCATTCCCTTTTCACGATGCTGTGCGTTCATCCGACAAGGGCAGCAATCATTTGCTAAGGGTGCAGACCCCCTTACATAGAGTCCCCACTACAAGGTTGTGCATTTGTATGCACAAGTTCGAACGCACGAGGTGAAAGATGTCGGTCCCAATACCAAATGCTTCTGCTTTTTTCTCGTTGAGCCCACGTTGTCGAAATGGGAACGGAACAGTGTATCGTTGCACGAGGTTCCGTTCTGCTCGCGTGTGGGTTCCGTTCTGGTTGCATGTTGGTTGTGGTGGCAAGCAAACAAAAAAAAAATAAATAAATAACACAAAATGGAGAAAAAAAAAAAAAAAAAAAAAAAAAAAAAAAAAAAAAAAAA